TAACATTTCATTTCGAAATCGAAAATATTTTCTAAAGAATTAAATAAATATTTTCGTTTGATTCATTTATTTTCCTTGCAGACACGTTATCAACATTTTTCTGTTGACCTACCAAATTGGCAGTTCTTGCATTTACGTCGTTTTTATGGCAACCAATCTCAGAGCACTAATCGTTGCATTCGGGTTGAACATCGATGTGAGACTTGTCATGGTAATCATTCTACTGCCGTTGATTCTAATTAACTGGGTAAGTTGAAAACCACTTCATCAATCTTTGCCAATGAGCTGGGGAATTCCATTTTTTGAGCCATTTTTTGCTGTACAAATTAAAGTGAGTTACCGCGCAATAAATATTTTAATGTGTTTGTTTCAACATTCAGGTTCGAAAACTTAAGTATTTGGCACCGTTTGCAACAATCGGTAATATTATCACGATTGGATCATTCGGTGTCATCTTTTATTACGTATTCCGCGAACCGTTGACTTTCGAAGGCAAACGACCGTATGCAACTCTTTCGGAATTCCCCATGTTCTTTGATACGGTTCTCTTCGCATTGGAAGCGATTGGTGTCATCATGCCTTTGGAAAATGAAATGAAGAATCCAAAAGATTTTCGCGGAGTAACTGGAATCTTGAATCGTGCCATGTTTGTGATTGTCTCTTTGTATATTGGACTTGGTTTTGTTGGCTACATCAGATATGGAGCCGACATAGAATCTACTATAACCATCAATTTACCTAACGAAATGTATGAGTCTCTCTTTTTTCAAGACCTGTAGAAAAACCATAAAAAATTGATTCCGAATTTTAGGCTAGCTCAAGTGGCGAAAGCAATGATTGCGCTGGGTGTGTTTACTACACATGCTATCGCTTGTTTCGTGGCGGTTGATATCGCTTGGACTGAGTACATTTATAAACGGATTGAAAAGAGCGAACGAAAACTATTGTGGGAATATGCATTGCGTACTGGAGTTGTATTCATCACATGTAGGTGCACCCAATCCTCTTGATTTATACACATTTTCTTGTCAACTTATTCACATTCAATCAATATTCCCATTATCCGATTTACAGTTATCTTGGCAGTCGCGATTCCAAATTTGGGGCTGTTCATTTCGTTGATGGGTGCCTTGGCACTATCGACATTAGGCATCCTATTTCCCGCCTTTTTGGAAACTATATACAAATGGAATAGAACTTCAGGTTATACAAAAGCGATCATTATTTTCAGAAATATACTCATTTGTATGATTGGCTTGGCTGGATTTGTGATTGGTACCTTGCTCAGCCTTAAGGAAATCATTAAGACATATTTATAGACAGACTGATTTATAGAGCGTAGAAGAAAAGCTTTTTTTCTCTAATATTTTACTTTTTAGAACCGTTTTGAAGCGATAATTTATTTAAATTTAAACAGTTGCCCAAATGAAAATTCATCACAAAATGTGTTACTTCAAAGTGATTGGCCAATGGAAACAAAAGAAAAACGACATTTGAGAAAAGAAGAATAAATGACTAGAATAAAACGATAAAATGCAATAGATTTCATTTGATCTTAACAATCACGGTTACTTCGTTTGGTTATCCAAGCGACACATACTTTGTACCCCATTGATTAACTTGACTGTTACAAATATTCTTTTCGTTGCAAAATGACAAAAAAAAAGTTCAAGGCTTAAGAAACGCTTTATTTATTTTATTTATTTTATTTACACCGCCAAAAACTGGCTGAATACATTGTTTGCAGGAAAACGAATCCAAGTGTTTGTACATACAATTTAGTGTGTGATTTATGATTGGAGTCTGGCACATATGTTAACAGGTTCTTATTTTATAGAATTTTGACTGTATTGGAGAGCTTCTACTGGTTGTTGCATTGCGAGTAATGTATCATTCTGTCGAAAACCTCCGCTGGCAGTTCATTGCACCAAAATATTTGGTTCTGTCATCATCTTGCAATTCTCTTTATTTTATTCTTTTTTGTTTATTTATTTATTTATAATAAGAATTTTTTACATTTCATTGAATGAATGTATATAATAAGAGCTATAGTTGATTTCTTCATATATCTCCGCCTCACTCTACATAAAAAATTTACAGATGAAACCCAAGGCCGAAATCGTTCAAACTCCGAGAACACGGTCACGTTGCGCAAGACCCGGACGAACAGCGAATAAAGTCCACTTTTTTGAGAAATTGCCAAAAATGGAAATGCGCTTTTTTGGTACATTACACTATGAAAAGTGAACAATTCTTAGGAGACATCAACGAATTGAAAAAAATAACATTAAATGGGGTTGCTCTCCACTTTGAATGCTCAAAAAGTCGAAACATCACTGAATTTGGCCAAAAGGGGCCAAAGCCTTACTTAAATATCCAAACCAAGTTCCCACCACAAATTATTACCCTTTACATCCATTATTTACCTGAACTTATTTTAAAAAATATACTATAGTGTACGGGGAAAACACTACAATAACAATAATATCACTTGCAAAATGAAATTCGTTCAAAACCCGAGCACAGGCGTGAATGCACTCACTTTGCAAACGCCCTTGTTCAACTAGCCGATTGAAAATAAACCGAGGGGGAAATCACTCAAAAATAATTTCTATTTAGAACTACAAGTAGTTTTTAGGTAATTCGTTGAACAAAAAGTAATTTTGAATGTAGTTTTTCGACTAAAAATTACTACAAATTACTTTTTATTCGATAAATTACTTTTCTATTAGAAATTACTTGTCAAAAATATATTTTTCTATGATAAAAAGTAATTTGTAATTCTCTTCGAAAAAGTAATAGTGAAAGTAATTTGTGAACTGAAAAAGTAATTTTCTAGAGTGATTTTCCCCTCGAAATAAACTGTTTTTTTGTTGAATACACTGTATTGAATACACCCATTAATGCAGTTCCAACGCGTTGCATCAAAACGTGTGGCGTTGTTGGTTTGATGTCTTCTGACTGAGACTATAGTGACGAGTATAGTTTAGTGTAGTTTGGTATATTTGGAACGTTTTACTACCATTTTGTTCTGTATAATGTCACCAAAAATTATCGAGAAACGATCAGAACAATTTAAATGGTTTTATCTTTAGTATTGTGCGCTGCGTGGCTTTTGACGCGTACTTTGCCTCAGATCGACAGATCGTATTGCATTATCTCGAACGGTTGATGGTTTCGGCGTGTTTTTCCGGGACAAAAAAATTGCCGTTATCCAATATGGTTGCTGAACCCAATTCAAGTTTGGGTGCACTTTACTAATCTAAAAATAAGATGATAACATGGTTTTTTTCATACATTTTTGGTAATTTTTTTCGGTGTTTCATCAATTTTTCAAAATAATAAAGCTAAAAATGACTTTGATGTCACTAATGTCCTTCTAAAATGGACTGCCACACATTTTTGAGCTAGTAAAAAGTACATAAAACTATTCTAGGTATAATATAAATGGGATTTAATAGCCAGATGTAAGATTTCCTTACAAATCGATAATTTTTTGATTTTGCTCCAATTTTTCGAAGTCTTGAAGACAACAGACATCCGTTGGCTCTAAAATTGCGAGATAAATAATTCTTAAGATTGTCATAGACGTGAAAAAAAGAGAAAAACATGAAAAATTAAGTCACATCAAGAAATTTGTTCCTCTTGAAACGCAGAAACGGCGTGGGCTATAACTTTCCACCAATGCGTACAGAACGCGCAAAACCATGAGCCATTCTGAACTCAGGGCGAGCTAAACTATCGCGTGGTACCAGTTCGGCTCTTGTGGCAAGTAAGAAAAAAAGAAATAAAGTGATTTCATCATGTGTCAGTGCAGTAAAGATGCAAGATGCAGTTGTTGCATTTTTGAAATGGTAATAATATGTTAGAATCTTAATATATTATTATTCTATTAACATCAGATCTTATTAGCGCTTATTTTCGGTAAAAAGCCATTATATTATTTATTATATTTAACACCGCCAAGTTCTGGCTGAATATATTATAATAGAATGTGGCCGAAAAAGAGTGCAAGACTGTTACATCAATTTTTATTTACTTACAATGATTAATAATAACGATAACTATCAGTTCTCGCCTCGTTAAAAACCTGGCTCTTTTCGTAAACTTTTTACACATGCATTTACACAAGTAGGACATGGAAACAAAAACACAGTCATACAACCAAGATGGAAATGCTTGATAGTAGTCCGATAGCAAACGGTCCAAAATAACCTTTGGTAAACGTTTCCAAAGGGACAAAGGCTATGTGAAGCGTTAACTGTTACGCGTTTAATTTGAGACTTTGAGACTGCAAAAGCCGTCACTCAATTTATACAGTAGATAAATTGACGAGAAGTTTTACGTCGGTTGGGCAGATCCATTATGAACTTACGAATTTAATAGCTAACTAAGAAACCTATCTTAAACTAAAAAACCAATTTTAAACTTCTGACTGTGTTTGGTGATAGGCGATCGTAAAAAATGAAGAAAAAACTATTTGTTTTTGAAAGTTTTCACTTTGATCATCAAATCTACCATAGAGAAAAAAATCACAGAAATATTTCGTTTTGTTAAGGTACTATTTCAAAGGCCCACGATTGCAATCGTGTACGATCTTCCCTATATATTTTTTATATGTAGAAGGCGAAAATGTAATACAGAAAAGTTGGGCGGAAAAATGTCGATGAATTAATCCTGAATAAATACATTTAAATATCATTCATAATCACAAATATCCATCATATTTCATACGACAGATTCTTAAAGATAAATTGGATTTTTTTGAAATATTTGAAATAATCTAAGCGTGATATTCCCCTAGCAAACTTTCAAACATGAATAAAGCTATTTGAAAATAACCTAATTTCTCCAGGCCACGAAAAATCAAACGGAACTCGTGAGAAAAAACCCTTGAATTAAAAACGTGGCCGAACACTCGCGACACACAGACAAGCATTCAATTCTATATGAACTGTTTGTTGTGATCAGCTGGTCAAACATGTGAAGGAAATGGAAAAAAAACTGTAAGACACAAAATACATTTTATAATGTTCAAGGGGTTTCAAGAGGTTTTCTCCGCCAAATTGTCCTCTGTACATATAAAAAAAATACACTTATGGCAAATAAAGATAAAGAGATAAAGATGTTTATTCGACGAACGATAAAACAATCTCAATGGTTAATAATTCTTATTAACATCATTAGCCTGATCATGATGATTCAGATTCAACCGATGAGAAAATATCAATTTAAAGTTTGTTCCATTTACGATTAAGGAGTTGAGCAGTTGCAATCGTACAAAAGAGACATTCGCGAATCTAGGCCTGTGTATATGAGTTCGTAGTCCATAAGGAATTAACAAATTATTTACAGACATGAGCAATTCAGCGTACAACAACACTGGTTTCGTCGGTGATAATGGGAAAGGGTTCGTGATTGACCTTATTTTATTTAAATTTTTTCCTCTTTTAATCGTTTTCTTTTCGTTTAATCATTTCTTATGTTCGGCAGTGGGAAGGAGTCGCATGAAAAATCCAGATCGGTGGAATTATCGATAAAATCCACGAATGGCTTTCAAGCGTCTGATGATTATGAACCATATGCACATCGAGACGTCCAACATCCGCTGACGTAACATTCTTTCCACATTCTTATGTTTTACAGCTCTGCATTTTGATATGTTTTTCGAATATTCATTTTTGTTTTCATATTCTTCTTGATACAGAAATATGGAAACCACAGTGCATTTATTGAAGTGTGCATTGGGAACTGGTATCTTTGCAATGCCAAATGCTTTCAATCATGCCGGATATGTCGTTGGATTTATTGGAACCGTTATACTAGGCTCAATTGCCACGTATTGTGTCCATATACTTGTCAAT